TTGTGAGCTATTGGTATGAACCAATAGCCAACAGTCTTTGGGACATTGGGCCAAAGCTAATGGTGCTCCTTGCAGGCAATATCAGAAGCAAGGCCAGAGGCAAGTGAAGGGGCTGAGTCTCTACAAAGGTCTGGAAGAATATGGATGTCTGCTGACTGCTTCTCCCCTTGAAGGCTAGCTATGACTGCTTCTTCTTTCTTCAGAGGCTGACTGCTAACTGACTTAAGCTGGCTCCTCCTCTGCCTTCACTTCCAATTTCAATTCACGTAACAGCTCAAGCCCCTAACTGACAACTGGACAGCTCAAACCTGATTGATCCATTTAGCTTGAACCTGATTGGTCCATTTATGATCCTGGTTCCAGATATAAAAGAGAAAAGCCTACCCTCTGCCTAGGCTAGACTGCACTGAAGTCAGGGCAGGTTCATGGACCAGATAGCTCTGGTTTCAGGACAAAGAGAACCGGTGATTTTGGAACAATGAGTTGTTATCAAATATACAGAGGCTGTCATGTAGAAAACAGCATGCCCTATATATTGAACATTAGTTTTAAAGAAGTAGAATAACACCAAAATTAAGAAGCCTTTCCCCTTTTCAAAAATTGAAATATAATTTACAAACAGTAAAACTCGTTCTTTTAAGTATGTAATTTTATGGGATTTTGTTTTTGAACAAATACAGTTTGACAAAAGAAACACCACCAGAATCAAGATACAAAAAAGTTTAGCAACCAAATCTGATCCACCCTAGCAACCAAATCTGATCAACGTTCTACACCTAGAGTTTTGTCTATTCTAGAATGTCAAATATATGGATTGTATGTAGCCACTGAGTCTGATTTCTCTTATTTAGCATAACGCAGCAAAGATAATCCACAGTTGTTCCTCATTGATGTGTAGAAATTCACTGTATAGATGCAAAGGACAGTCAGATTGTTTCCAGTTATTGGAATTATGACTAAAACTATTACAAACATTTGCATACAGGATTTTGTCTAAACATAAGATTTCATTTGGGTAAATATTTAAAATTGGGACTGCTTGCTTATATGGCAGGCGTATGATTAACTTTATAAGAAACTGACAGTTTTCAAAATGGCCATATACCATTTTGCATTCCCATCAGAAGTATATGAAAGTTCCAGTAGCTCTGCATCCTATCTAGCACTTTGGTCAATATTTTTAAGTCATTCAAATAAATGTGTAGTGGTAGTTCATTACAGTTTTAAAATATATTTCCATTACCACTGATGATGCCAAACATCTTTTCATCTGCTTATCTTCCATCTGAAAGGTAGTTTTTATGTTCTGGATACAATTCTTTATCAGGTATGTGCTTTGCAAGTATATTTTCTCCCAATCTTGATTTGTCTTTTCATTCTCTTAACAATGTCTTTCAAAAAGCAGAAATTTTTAATGGTGAGAAAGTTTAATTCTATGATTTTTTAAAATGGATTTATATTGTATCTAAAAAAATCTAACCCAAAGTTAAAGATTTTTCTCCTAGAAGTTTTATGATTTTCAGTTTTCCATTTAGGACTATGTATTTAGGACTCTGAGTTAATATAGTTTTTTTAATATGGTACAGATATGGATAAAGATTTTTTTGGTAGTTTTTAAAATCTGGATATATAATTCTTCCTTTTTTTTTTTAAAAGACTGTATTTTTCCTTCATAAGGAATAGCTTTCTAATAATTATGACTGATTAGTAATATGAATAGCACCCTCAAAAGAAAAGTTGACTAGAAGTTTTTGGAACTAGTTTGAGATGTGTATATCCCAGCTCTCATCTTTGAGAACCATTTGTTCAGTCTAATTTAAAAAAAAAAAAAAGAAGCAAGGGGCCTCCCTGGTGGCACCAGGGGTTAAGACACAGCACTATGAAGCTATCCACAGCCACTGCAGCACAAGTTCAAACCCCGGCTACGGAGGTGACCCATATGGTGCAGGAGACCTCTTCTGACTTACCCACTGCTCCCCTGAGCAGTGTATTTCAGTCAATCTGCCTGTTCTGTTCCCCACTCTGTCTCTGGTGAATCCTCTCACTCCCCACACCTTTGGTCTGCACCGCAGGTCTTGTATGCATAAATAAATAAATCTTAAAAAAAAAAGGCAAATCTCTCAATGAAGTACCCTGAGAAAGTCACCGCAGGAAAGACTTACCAGACATCCCTCATGTTCCTCTCCTAACCCTCATGCTCCAGCAATTCAGTTTTCATCTAGTTTATTACTTACTGAATTTCCACATAAAATTCCTCTTGAATAAAAGTTAAAACAACTTTCAAATTAAAAAATAACGAATCAATAACATAAATAAACCCACAACTAGGTAACATGTAAAGTTACCCTCTGGTTTTAAATTCCTAGGATCCATTTTGTGAAATAGAAATAACCACTATAACTGATGCCTAATTAATTTTAGTCCATTTGCTTCTGTCCAGGCCTTTCATCTATATTAATTATATTAATTTTAAAAACACATTATATATGAATAGTCAATAGCAACCAGAATAATGGCTCTTACCTTACAATTAAGATTCTATCTAGTTTCAATTACAAATAACAATAATCTAGTCATGGGTTAATGAAAAATGGCATACTAATGGCCTAGGGGTTATGTCTCAGAGCCATCACTGCCTAAGTTCAATCCCTGGCTGGGGAGCTAACTCACACATGATGCAGCAGACCTCTCCTGTCTTACCTGCTCCTCCCCTTAACAGTGTATTTCAGTAAATCAGCCTGTGCTACTCCGCAGTGTCTCTGGTGAATCCACTTACCCTCTTCACCTTTGGCCTGCACCCCAGTTCTTCTACACAGCAAAATAAATAGATTTTGTCTAAAAATAATTTGTTTTTAAAAAGGGCATATACTAATTTAACAAATTGGTTTATATTACATTAATAGTGACACTAAAATGCTGTTTCTAAGTCTTTTAAAAATACAAGAACTTACTTCGCATTTTCAAATATTTTATCATTGTTCATAAATATTTATAGAACCTTTTCAGTTTTTTCAAAATGCAAATAAAAGCAACTCCAATTTGCTCATTATTTCTAGTGGTAAATAACAAGCCCCTGGTCTTGTCATTGTGATAGTATCACATAATAAGCAGAAATAAGAAGCTGTGAAAACCCTCCCAGCATTATGTTACCTATTTGATTATTTAATATTTTCACTTCGATATAAACCTAAATGAATGAATGGCTAAAACTCAGATTTGAAAATTACGTGTTTCAGTTATCCATGAAATAAATTATTAAATATTACTTCAATAACAATGATTATACCTAAGATTTTAATTGATTACAGATAGCTTATCAGTCTGACATTCTGACTAATACACTCCAAGAAAGACATAACAGAGCTGGGGAAAACCTATATGGGGCAACAAAATACATCTTAAGTATGCAACTCATTTTATGAAACTAAAACCAGTTTATATATCTCTCTGGCATGCTTCATATCACCTTGTTCAAAGCAACAGATTACTGTCTGACTCATCCACTCTTCAAAGTAGAAAGAACTCAGAAACATTGCTAATAAACCATACAACCTGAGACTTTTATATAAATAATAAACCCCATAAACACTGAAAAAAGGGGGTTTGAAAAAAAGTCAGAGAAAACTGAAAAATAGTACTCTGATTTATTAATGAGCACATGGAATGTGTGAATCCCCCTCCTCTCACTCACCTATCTCATTTCTTTTATACTTAAATAAGTTAATGATGTTTGATTAATATTGTAAGATAAGTAAACCGTAATGGGATGAAGAGCTAGGGTACTGGTAAAAAAGCACCTAAGCCAAGGGCTTAGTGAACTGTCTGAAAGCCCTGAAGTGGGAAAAAGAACAGCAAGTTCCAGAGTTGGTGTGGGGGGAGATACAGTAAAAAGGATAGCGGTACAAGATAAACCTAGAAAGGAAGGCAGGAGTTAAATCAAGCAAGACTTCAAAAGTTATGTTAGGATTTTAAAGTTTACTCCTATACCAGTAAGACAAACTAAAGGATTTTATACAAGAGGGTGACAAAATAAGCATTTTAAGAACATTTCTGGTTGTCCAATGGAAACTTAAAGGAAGATTAGAGTATGTATATACAGCAATTAAACTACTGTAGCAATCAAGGTGAAAAGATGATCTTAGCCTACACTAGGATAATGGCAATGTCAGTAAACAGATCTAAGAGATAATTTAAACACCAACCAGTCTTAAGTTTTCCAAATTTCCTGTCTGTTTACTTGACTATTATTTATTTTTATATTTTTATGGTACAAACAGAAACTTGAGTGTGATCAATTATATTAATTATGCTTACAGGTTAAAACGAGTATTAAAAGTCTATACGCATGGAAGCAATTAAGAAAAAAGCCATATAGTTGACAATGGTAAACTATACACAAAATGAGAAGCATGCTCTTACGAGAACTCTTAGAAACTATAAAATTTGTTATATAATATAAACATAAATATTGAATTGCATCTAAGTGAACCACTATTGAAAAATTTGTGATTACAAAAATTCTATCTGCTATTGATCAACAGGAGAATATTACTATTTGCTGCTAGTTGTAATCTGTCATGCATCTGCAGACATAGGAAGTACACACGTATACACACAATAACAGCAATGATGCATGGTTCCAGAAATACCCAATGTACTTAAGAGTGTACTAACAACTTTAAAAAAAAAAGTGTCTTACAATTTAAATAAGAGTATCACTGAGAAAATAAAAAAATGCACTCATAAAAAAATGTTCTGATTGCTATTCATATACATTACTAAAATGGAAGACTTTAATCTTAATTTTTTCTTAATATTGTATATAACTTAATATTTGTGTATAATGGTTACTAACACAAATTTTGTCTTTTAGTGATGAATAGTTCTTAAAATTTATATAAAATCCAGAAATTCAAGTTCAAATCACTCTGAGAAGAACCCACAACACAGAAATAATACTGGAGGCAGAATCATAGCAATGTATAGCAGAAAACTCTTACCAATTTTTCATCAACTGTTATGAGTTGCGAATCTCGAGCTTGGTCCTGTGCCAGCCTCCATGTGGAAGTGCTCAAAGACCTGCAGTGCAAGACTTTAAGTTAAAAAATGATCCATGCAATGAGAAAAAAGAGGCAGACAAATCTTACATAAACAAGCTACTTTAACAATATCTGTCTTATAAAACAAAAAGCATAGAAAGAGGGCACAAAAATCCTTTTACTCCCCAATTAGTTCTGTCTGCTGAGTTTTTGGCAGACTCTCACTTGACAGTTCACAACAGGCTGCACTTTATGTCACACTATAGGCTCTCTGTCACAGAAAGCCAGCCAGTGACAAGAACTGTACTGCTCTCTATGAGAGCAGAGCAACTAGCAAGTCACAACCAGGAAAAAAAAATACAAAGCTGTATCAGCTTTTCCGGAATGCTTATTCCTAAATGATGGTATCAAAAGAGAAAGTCTTAGCCATGTTAATGGCCTAAAGTGTAAGTTGCAGAATTTAATTACATGTTACCAAATAGTTTTTTCACTCTAATTTGAATGCATGATTGATTTATATGATCATGTTAACTATTTCTATTAGTTTAGTCCTATATCCCATTCACAGATTGAAGAAAGTTTGAATAGTTAAATAGAAATATTAGGTCAGAAACAAAGTAAGCAGAGAATCTAGCTTCTTTTTACTAGCATTGTCCCATCCTCACTCCAAGTAGTTTGCAGATTCCTAAAAGATTTTTTTTTATTTCACTTACACATTGTAATTTATATCAATGAATAACACAGCTATCACCATGGCAATTTAGCATTTTAAATTTATAAAATATTGAGTCATCTTATGTAAACTAAGTTAATATAATATGACCCTAAATAATCTACAGTCCTTTTTTTACTAAATGTAAAATAATCACAATAATTTTGATGTAACATAATCACCAATAATGCAAAACTACAAGGTTCAACTTTTAATAGCTACCAATATACAGATTTATAAAAAAAACTACTTATTAACAATATAGTTTACAGAAAACTAGTAATACAAAAAGTCTTTACTTATTGTGAACATTTTAAAAAATATCCATGTAATTATTCCCCAAATGTATTATGATTCTTTAGCATTGTAAATATACTTTTCATGGACACAAAACACATCTACATGGAAATTATTTTAAATTATGTATACAAGCAGCTAAAATATATGTTCAGATTGTTTTAATATTAAAGAAGTATAATTAAGCACCATTAAAAGTATATTTACTTCGGAAAACACTAAGACCCATAACTAAACAAGAAAAACTTTATAAATACTTTTAACCAAAAACATACTTTGCAAGAAAAACAGGAGGCAATGATAAGGGAAAACAGGGAAATTTCAAATGTTACAATTATTAGAAAAAGTGACTAAATTATAAGAGAATTAAGCTACATAGTTCCTCTAGCAAAAAAAAGTATTGGATTAAAATAGTGCAAATTATTAGATGAAAACTATAATCCATGGGCTATGCAATTTTGGGCTGCACGATTTAAGCAATTTTCTCTTAAATTGTATGACAAAATGTTATCATACATTAGTAAAATTCAAAGTAAAATTTTAATTTTCAACAATATATGTACTTTAATAATTTTAAATTAGTCTCCAACTAATCAGAAGAATAAACCATATACCATTTTTTATAAAGGGAACTATTATAAACAAATATTTAGATGAAAAACTATCTCATTTACCAGACTATACGTAAAAAGCAACAGATACCAAAAAAAGGAAAACAGATACAAAAGAGGTTAAGTAAAAAGTAATCGTTTAATTCATAAATATCTTAATGACTATTCATTACCTGAAACAATATATTTCAGAAAAATTTACATAAGTGTAAAAAGCAACATACATAAACACACACACATTCTGTGTTCTTGTATACGTGTATATATATATATATGTATGAAGGTTAAACTAGGTCATGTGCTAAATAATTACTCTCTAAACACAGTGAAATAATCATTAAAATACTCAAATCTCAAACTGGAGAACACTTTTTGCCAGAATATAGTTAAGGAAGCAACAAAGATCCAAACTCAATTATGAGCATAGATTTAACTAATTACAACAACAAAATGTAAAGCTAATATTTTATACAGTGTAAATTATACAGTAAATTTTTACTGTATTTGCTGATCAGCCTATAGAAATTGTCACATTAGGAAGTGATAGAAGGAAAGAACATATTTTTAATAATAGAATATAAAAACTTTACAAGAAAAATAAAAAGCTTAGAAAGCACAATCAAAAAAATAATAGAAGCTACTGTATAAGAATTTGTAAACTACAAATAAACAGATAATATTTACAACATAAAACAGTAAAGAATCAATATCCAAAATGAGTAAAAAAAGAAGCTACTACCAATCAATCAAAAGGTATCATTCTTAAGGTTCAAAGGAGTCAAACAAAAAATATAAAAATCCAATTAAAAATGGGGGAAAGGCTTGACAGATATTTGTCCAAAACATAACAGTGAGCAATAAACCCATGAAGAGATGCTCACCATTACTGTTGTGAGAATTCTCAGACTAAGATGAAGTTTAAGAAGTTTAAAATGAAGACTAAGCGAAGAAGTTTCCTTACTTTGTTTCCAACGAGGAACATCTAACAGTTAAACAGAGGGACATGATACATATCCAGAGTCTCATGACTTGGTGATAAACTGGTAACCCTCATGGACATCAGAGACCAATACAGATAGTACCAGAAGGGACAAGGAGGAGATTCATGCTTCATTAAATAGAAGGTGGGTTGAGAAAAATACCTGGAGGTTGCAGTCAGGAAAGGCATGAGGTGGACAGATGGTAGCATTACTGGTAAGCCATGAATCTTAGGGAGAAGAGAGATGAACCGTGTGGAAGGGAAATAGGTGTGGAAGAGCTGGCCAGGCCACTCCCTAGTGAAAAGAACAAAGACAGTGTACTGGACTGCACTACCTTTCCCCACTCCTTGTAAGTGGTATTGACCTCATGAAGTACATAAGTAGTTTGCAGGCCGGAAAACCCTGGTCTGGAAACTCAGAGAGGAAGGTTATCAGTGATGCTACAAATGCTAGCCCTTCCCCAACCAGCACATCGTCAGACCAGTGGCTAGACCACTCCAAGCCCCTCCCCAGCCTGTGAGACAGCATCTGAAAATAGGCTTCAATACTTATGGAAACAAGAAAAGGCCACAATATTAAACTAACATAAAATCACGTCACCATCTGCTGTAAAACTAGTAGTTCAACTTTAAGTTACAGCTATAGTTACTTAAAAAAAAAAAAGAAAAATCTGAAGTAGCAAAATGGGCAGACAAAAAACTCATCACATACCATTTTGAAACTTCAAGTGAATGTGACATCACAGGAGTGAACAACTCTCCAAAATCCAAACACAAAGACACAGAAGAGTTTATCTTGCTATCAGAGCATTCAAAATTGCCATAAAAAGAAAATCAAAGATAAGGAAGAAAATACAGAAAAGGAAGTCAGAAAAGTAAATTTAGGGAAATACAACAAAATTCAGAAGAACAAATTAATGAGTTGAAAAATACAACTAATGAATAGAAAAAAGCAAATGTTTAAATAAGGAAATAACAAAGGCTCAGGATGTAAAACTCTCGAGATAAAAAAAATATTCTAATAAGAACTATGGAAGCTGAATAGACCAAATAGAGGACTGACTCAGTGACCATGAAGATAGTATGACAAAGGATCCAGGTGGAAGAAAAGAATCTCATTAAAAACAAATGCCTAGGAGTAAACTTAACAACGGAGGTAAAGGAAACTGTACAATAAAAACTGTAAGACATTGATCACAGAAATAGAAAAAGACACAAAAAACTGAAAATATATTTTTTTGCTCATAGGATAGAAGAATTAACGTTGCTAAATGGTTATATTAATAAAACAATATTCAAGTTCAATGCAATCCCAATCAAGGGTGCATGGCATTCTTCCAATAGAACATTATTGAAATTTATACGGAGCACAAAAGACCTTCAACAGTCAAAACAGTCCTGACAAAAAAAGAATGGAAGTATCATACACCAAAACTTCAAACTATACTATAAAGCTATCCTAATCAAAATAACATGGTATTGAAATAAAAACACACATAAACCAGTGAAACAAAAATGGACAACCCAGAAATAAACCCACGCTTCATTTGGACAGTTAATCTATGACAAAGAAGCTAAAAGTACCCAATGGAAAAAGGAAAGTCTCTTCAACGAATGGTACTATGAAAATTGTACAACTGTATGCAGAAGAATGAAACTATGTCACACCATTACAAAAATTAACTCAAAATAGATTAAACCTTGGATATAAAACCTGTAACCATAAAATACACAGAAATAAAACATTCCACAATACTGACTTCATAGGTGTCTTGGGGACCTGACTCCAATGACCCAAAAAAAAAAAGCAAAAGTAAACAAATGTTACTACATAAAAAGTTTCTGGACTGAAAAAGAAACTATTACTATAGACACTTTAAAGACATACAGATAGTCAATAGTACATGAAAAAATGTTCATCACCACTTATCATCAGGGAAATGCAAATCAAAAACAAGCCAGATACCATCTCACACCTGTGAGAGTGGTCCATCTCAAAAAAACCAAAAGTGGTAACAGTTGGTGAGGATGTGGAGAAAAAGGAACCCTTATACAGTGTTAGTGGAATCTGAACTGGTTCAGCCCTGTGGAAAAGAACCTGGAGAGTGCTTAAAATATTAAAAATAGGGCCTCCCTGGTGGTGCAAGGGGTTAAGACACAACCTATGCAGCTATCCACAGCCACTGCAGCATGAGTTCAATCCCCAGACAGGGTGCTACCCACATGGCACAACAGACCTCTCCTAACTCGCCCACTGCTCCCCTCAGCAGTGGATTTCAGTCAGTCCGCCTGTTCTGTTTCCCACTGTGTCTCTGGTGAATCCTCTCACCCCCTGCACCTCACATAGTTCTTGTGTGCAGAAATAACTATTTTTTAAAATCTTAAAAAATATATTAAAAATACATATACTATAGGGCCTCCCCGGTGGTGCAGCGGTAGAG